TCTCGCCAGTTACTCAGTGCTCGCGAACTCTAGTAAGCTAGTTACCTTGCCCTGCACCTTGTCTTGCCCGATGTGCGCGCTTGACGAGGTAAATACATCATAGCTTTCTGTTGTGCATTTTCAATGATGCCAGTTTCTTATGTGTACTGTTGCCAATGCAAAAGTGCCTTTGATAATTAATGTCCAAAAATATGACATTTTACGAAGCCACAAGTCAAAATGTGTTAGCTCCACAATTTATCTCAATTTAGTTTCAAGAAAATTCTTGAACTTTTGTTAACTTTCTGAATTTACACGAGACAAATGTAAAGTCACAGAATATTAATTTATTTTAAATAAAGTACAAGTACAATTATCGGTTCAGAAAATGTTAAATCTGGTGACATACCCACTTACATGAATTAGTGTGTATCGAAGTTTATATATCTGAACTGTTGCTGCCGAAATGTTATTTTTAAGATATAATATTAAACTAAATATTTTTAAACGACAAATTGCTGAATTTGCCGCTGAGTACTGACGGCCAAATCTAGAAAGTTGATGTACAACTAATTACCATACTGCAACGTACTATCATATTTACGGCAATGGATATTCTACTTTTTCTAAATCTATCTGTAACTTGTGAATTTCAATTCATTGTTAATTCCTTTGTTTTGAACACACTGTATGACGATTGTCCGTGTTTCTACATTTCTTTTTGAAATCAGATGATACCAAGTGAGTAAAATTTGATTTGAGTATGTGAACACAATTGTGAATTAATTAGAATAATTACAATGATGATGAGAGATTAGGCTGTAATCTTGATTCTATTCGATGCACATGAGAGTGGTAGTGTTAATCATAAATACTTAGGTGCTAGTTATTTGCTTATCAGAAAAACACGTACCCAATGCCAATTGACTTACTCTGATTTTGTGTGCCCTCGGCCTCTCTCGTCCTCTGCTTGCAAGTGGAGAGTAGCCCTTTTCACCTCCTTCGGAGGCATCGCGTGAGCGAGCGCGTAATCATACAACGGAAGCCCCCGCGTAGGACACGGCCGTGAAGCCCCCGCGCAGTGTGTGCATCCACTCACCTGCTCGGGCCGATGTTTTCTTTATGAATTTTTCATCGGTGGGGTGTTTGTATCTCCTAATTACTTTCTCGCTACCGCTTACGCAGTAGAGCAAAGGTTATGTAATGCTGCGTAAAAAAAAAAAAGTTGAACAGTTGCTAAATTTAGTAAAAAATCCTCTGACTCGTGGGGGTAACCAGAATTCATATTTTGTGGGTTCTTAATACCTAAAAATCGAGAGACCAATACGTCTGTCCATCCGCCTGTGAACAACGCTACAGAACCGTTCATCCGATTTTCTCCTAAATTGATATTCCATAATCGATCTGGCAAATGCCGTGGCCCATTGAATTTAAAGCCTATATTTCAATTTTGGGGGTTGCTTTACACGAATCCCCTGGGACATTTTTAAAATTAAAAAAAAATAACGCCATTGATTTGGATGAACTTTTGTTTTTGGATAGTAAAAAGTATGTTTAAATGAATTGTGCAAGTCTAATGTTGCTTAAAAATGCTTATTTTTTATAATATTTTGTTAATTTTGTTTAACGTTTCTCGCCATTCTAATTAGGGCTGATGTCTGGAGCGATATTTACTCTTCGTCAAGGTTGAAGGTTCAAAACTTTCGAAATACGTCAATATTTTCGTCTTGATATTGAGGTGCGGTTGACAAAATCAAACCAACCGAATTATAATATATTTCATCATTCATCGTACTTCATATTTCTTAAAACATTACTTACTAAATGTACACATTGGTTTTCGACCTACTTGGTAAGACTAGAATAATAATGTCATTTCGTCCTTTTAGTTGGGAAATATTTCACACTGTGGCGCACTTGACAGTACAGTTTCTCGCCAACAGAGGCTCTCGAGTGCTCAGCAAACGTCGTCTCCCAGTACTCGTAATGCCGTCGTGGAAGCCACTGGCTAGTTCTTATCAGCAGTTTAATTGGTGGTGCCTTTGTTTACAATGTGCCAGATAAGTGCTTCTAATTCCACGTCACATTGTGGTACGTAGAATTGAAATAATCCTTTACATACAATTTATGAATGTCAACTGTGAATGTAGATGTAGTGTATTAGTAGTGTACAGTTCCCAAGTTAAACATTTTCGTATCAAAATTGCGAGCTGCAATCGATTACGAACGAGACCGGAAATCATTTAATTGATAAACTTTAAATGAGAAGCTGTCCCCTTAACAAGAGCACTGACAGCCGTACTCTTTTGCTATAATCTTTAAAATATTTGTAGTTCTGCAAAACTGTAGTGGCTGTTAATGTGATGCATGTAAAGCGAAATACTGTTCAAAGTGCAGTAACAAATTTACTGTTGTTTTATCGAACACGCGAAACAATAGAATATTATGCAACTGCTTTATAACGAAGTTTTATTGCATGAGTACGTGTTTTAAAAACTATCGACGTTAGGAGCGAGTTTTCCAATTTGTACGAATGTAATAAATCAACATTATAAATTAGTTACACACGCTATTTTTTTAAAAATCAGCATTATAAATTTATAAGAGAATCAAACAAATTAGAGGAACAACTTTTATGTGATGTCATGGCTATTTGACATCTGAGAGTAAAAATGGTGGTTAGTTCTTCCTCCTCACAATTCTCTCGCACCAATTGGCAGAATGTATGATGACGTGCCACAATCTGCAAATACGTCATAACCTGTGCTAAAAGATGTTATTTTAAAACGATTTCCTGCAGCAAAAAGTGTCGTTTATAATGCAGGAATACAAAAAACCGTTTAGATCACCATCCACAACGATTAAAAAAATATTTCTCTTATTTCTCACACACTGATTTTAAGTTTCTGAAACGAAGTTGGTTATATTTTCAAAATATTCAGCTTCTCGGTGGGAGTGTGGCCAGTACCAATCCATCACGTCGATACCCTTCGAATCTTGTAGAGAGGAAGTGTTGAAACACAAGACAATGTAGTTTTATGAAATTGTCGCGCTGTCGGAAAACAATATCTTCAATTATATACCATCTGTCTGCAAAATAATATTTTTTTCTAACTCATGGTACACAGATAATCACCAGGAAACGGAAGGTTTTGTAATCCATAAAGCAGAATATGTAACACATGTATTTATTATGTATTTATGTTTTCCAAAATATGTAAGAAAAATAGAAAATACATAAAATACAAATTCTCCCTAGAGTTTAAAATTCGCTCGCCATCTAGCGGAGAAGGTCACCGCTACCTTCCCTGATTAAACATGCACTACACTTAAAAGACTAATAATCATAGCAAATGACGCTCCCGGAAACACGAAATAAGCAATGCAAGGCATCGAGAACACTGCGCATTTTCGTGGAGCTGCATGGTCTGATTTCAAAGCATTGAGAAGAAACGCGTGTGCCGCATTAGAAGTAGAGATACGTGTCTGATATTTGATATAGAAGAGGGACTAGTTTGTCAGGTAGGAAAATAAATGAACGTCATGTAGGACGATGGCATTGCAAAAGATACCATGATCCATTTACAAGCCGGCTAATAGTAAACGAACCCATTGACGAATTGAGTGGATGAACATAACCTTCAGTTAAGTTGCAAGACGTAGCCGAATAGTTGAGATCAAACCGATCCCTTTTTATTGTAATATCTCTAGACGTGCTGAGGCAACACCGCAGCTCAGCATGCAGTTGTAGAAATAATAACAAATTAACGATATTAGATTTTCTGTTTTAATTTTTGCCGTGAAGGAGGAGATGTATGCGATGCTCTGTTTTTTCAAGGTTGTGTTACTTGTACGTGGGCTGTGGCTCTCATGAGGACTGGGGCGCATGGAACATGGGAAAGAGGCCTAGGTACCTGCATGTTCTGGGGCTATTTTAAATAGTTTTACATAAAATTTGTTATATTTATAATGTATTGTTGTAATTAAAAAGACCTAGTTTTTTTGCTAACTGCCGGTCTCAAAAGATAGGAGGCGCCAAACCCGGAGCTTCAAATTCAGTAAGAAGTTAATGGCTATGTTATCTGCTTCTTCTGAACTGATTTGACGGCGGAAGCTTTCCATAGAACTAATTGCAAAAATTATTTAACTGCTAATCTGGCATCACTAATTTTACAATATTTGGTAACGTCGTTGCTCTCGTCTGGTAAACAGGTAGATTGAGCCAATAAATATCCAATCATTATTGTAATTCATTCTTTAATTCTTTCATTCACTCACTGATGCATTAATACAGAGGGATAAAGAAGTTTGTCGCTAATAGAAATGATTATTCAGAGCTAAGTTTTGTAGGATTGAGTTCATAATTTTGTGGGTTGGGCAACTCTGTCAGAGAAACGTTCATGTGCCAACTAATTTTAAGATGTAAAACAAACATAAAATGAGTAATTTTAAAAACAAAATTAATACTAATAATTATTATCGGGTTGTTTACAAAATGTCAGATGAATCCCCCAAAGAAGGTAGGACAAATTGCTTTGTAAGCATTCTTTAAAATCTACAATAATTTTATTCATATATCTCAGTAGTAAAAGTAGTAGTAACACCTCCAAAATTTCCTGCTCGCCACGTTAATTACTGCAATTTTTGAGATTGCGAATAAAAACTATTACTTGTTATTGTTTACAAATGCTTTGTTCAAAGGCAAAAATCTCCTACAGTTTTTAATAAAAATATGGCTGGTAAACAGTCCAATGCACAAAAAATACATCGTGTAAGAAATAATTCATAATAAGTACATTGACCCTTCTCAAACTCCGTGTAAACTGGCTAATGAAAAGGTAATAACACACTTCAATTCAATTCAATACGCCACTAAATTGGGATGCTCAATTCCCGCGCGCAGTGAATCACAGTTTCCGCTTCTAACATCGACGGCTGCGCCCACATCTACTACTCGAGCGAACCAAAGTTTGTCCTTCCCCTTGTCGCCGCTGAAGTGCAAGGCGTGTTGGCGCACTCACCCGGCCGGCGTGCCGTCGTTGCAGGTGGCGTTGGGCGCGTTCAGGAAGACGCGTCGCAGCCCGCCCTCCGCCGCCGTCGCCGCGGGAGGCGGTCGCGCCTCCAGCATCTGCCGCACACGGACAAACACTCACACTCAGTCACTCAATTGGCAGTCGAAATGGTAGGCGCAGATTGACGGAAAATAAGTGTTTATAAATTAAAAATGCACGCAGCCCAGATGATAGGATTGATTGATTGAGTAGTGATTCCGGGAGCGTCAACTGATTAGGTTATTAGTCCCGTAAGTGCAGTGCATGATTTGTCGCGGGAGGTGTCGGTGATCTTCCGCCGTTGGATGAAGAGATCTGGCACCGACCTACGTTGACTTGCGGGAATTTTCCCCAACTAGGTATCTCCCACCAACGAGGTACTGATGCAGCCCGGACAAGCTCTAAGCAGCCGACTGGTCTCCCGGCAAGTGTGGCAGTGTAGTAGTGCATGTGAATGTGTGTGCAATTAAGAGGTAAGGATGTGTCAAGGAAGGAGACGGAAATATCGCGCGCGGTCAGTGGCCCGTTTGTTAAGGTTTTCCTCCAGCATTAGCCTGGTGTTGATCAGAGAAACAACGGAAAGCTACCGAATAAAGCAGCCGTCTACTAGAATTTTCCTCCAGACAGCAGCGACTTAATTCGAGCTATAGCTCGACCACTTAGAAAAAACAGATCATGGCGTCGCTTACCTCGGGAGGCGTGGCTAAGCCATCCCCCACTGTCCCGAAAGGAGCTCATTTGAACTCTTGGGCCACCTACAATGATAACTGATTTGCTCTTGCGAATAAGTTCTCAACAATCTAGGGTTCGGGACGTTCGTCAAGGCCAGGCTGTTGAAGTTGAACCTCTAAGAGAGGGGACCTTTCACTACGCCAATTTTCGCGCATGCGCCTTCCAGGATTTTTCCTAAGTAGTCGAGCTACAACTGACGAGCAATAGTGTTGAAATTCCTGCCACCGTCGGGATTCGAACCCTAGGACCGGCCGGTCAGAGGCACTGCATTGACATCAGTTGATACTCTGAGATGATAGAAGATGATAGAAGTAGAGGTTGATAATTTTTATGTGCGAACATATTATAATCTGGAGTCACGCCAAGTATTTAATTTATTACCATGCTGTAATATAACACGAGATCGTTCACATGAATCTAATAAATGTCATTTCTCAAAATAAATACTTTTTTCATTATTTTAGACATGTTAAGGATTCCTATAATTCAGCTATTTCGAATTGCCTAAATTATATTTGCCGTAAAAAAAGCTCCCCAAACTATAAATATATTTTTATTTCACTAGATAACGAAACAAATTTTATATTTTCAAGAGGTAATGATGAAATGATACTATAAAGTGTGAAAATTAGTAAATACCCTCTCGAGTGAACCACCCTTTACTATTAAAAAAAGGCAATTGATAAAAAATTAGATTGTTAGATTGTACCAAAATAAGAGATTGTGAACATCGAACTAGTACAGCATTTTTCAAAGTATTTCGTTATTCGCACGCGAGTATTTACAAAATGAGTTCCATTTTTCAAATTTCACCCACGAGTAATTACTATAGGGATCAATATTCGGATGACTAGTCGAAGGATAAATATTTTATTTTTTTGATACATTTTTCAGCTCTTGCAACTTCCCAAACTTTTGCCGCCTCGGTGAGATTTTCTAAATCAATGAAGATGGGCTACATGAAAATGGCGCAACGTCCATCCCCCAGAACAACTGGAGAAAGATCAGGATGGGGATGAAAGAATTGTGCGCGGTCCTTGTCTGTTTTGATGAAGGTACCGCTACAGAATTCGCCTGTACAGGGTCGAAGGGAACAGAGCAGCCACCCTCTACAATTCTAATTCTGGCTGCTGTCGGTTTCAATCGACGAATGGTGTCGATCGCACATAGCCGGAACTCCAATCTGGGACATACTTCTCTGGGTCAACGATGCTTTGGTTCAGGGTTCGGTATTGCATGTACCGGATATGGAGAGCTTTTATGAGCTTTATGATCTTTATGAGCTTTATGAGCTGACGTTTTGGTACAAAGAAATTTACCAAATTTCATTTCCTTAAAAATGTTGAGATTGATCTATTGTTACACTTATTTTTAGTACGAACACACACAAGAAAACTCGCATCAGTTAAAATACAATCAGAATTGAAAACCCCTTGAACTAAGTCACGTTTTTTCTTCAATAACTTAAAAACATTGAAACACTCTTCCTTCAAAGTAGGTACTGAAAAAATTTCACTTCCACGCATACTTATTAGGGAGCAGAGCATACACCACGTAATGCTGCGGTAGAAAACGGTGATTTTTGGGCACAAAAGTCGTATTGTAAATTCCTGTTTCAGATAAATTGGACAATTATTGTTCGTACATGTAGTAAATTCCTTCCTCTAACACGTTGTAAAGTCAGAATTCGCATTCTGTGGGTCATCGATACCGAAAAATTGGTTTTTGGCAAAACGTTTGTCCGTCCATCTGTGAACATTGTGGGAGCTAAACTGTAGACGGAATTTTCACCAAAACTTATTTTCCGTTAACGATCTGGCTGATATTGCATTCCCTTGAATTTGAAATGTATATTTGTTTTTTGGTAGCACTTTACATGAAGCTCCAAAGTCATTTTTCAAAAATTTCCCAAAAATGGCTACAAACGTTTTCTTTATTTTGTCTCAGATAGAGGGAAATATGCTTTTAAAATGACCAATTTTCATTGAATTCTATGAATTAAAAAATATTTTAATTAAAATAAAAAAATATTCTAATTTTTCTTGAACTTTTTTGAATATTAATATTACGTAATAGTTATAGAATACGAGAAAGCAAGTGCTCTCGTAAGCCCACTAGCTTTGTTTTGATTATCGACTTGTAATAACGATATGAATTTCATAGGTATAATGAGCAATTTTATGTTACGTATGCAACGCCCACTTCTTAAATTACGTCGTTAAAATAAAATTAATTTTATAAGAACGTAATTGAAATGCTTCTAAAATATGCTAACTTACTTAAAATGAGTTATACGTTAGTTAATTTAAATTAACGAGTAACAGAGTTGCCTCCAAAACTGCTGAGTTGTTTACAAGCTATGATAATGTTCAACCAATCAATCATCAAGAAGAGCCAATTATCTGAAAATGTCCGGACATAATTTTGTCGAGCTGAGAAAGTAAGGGTCTGTTTCTATCCTACCTTCCCTTTTCCATGAAATTAGGAGAAAATTAAAACAATTTTCATTTAATTTGTTTTATATTAGATCTTCTCCATTGAAAATGGAGGGCGATTTCCGGACCGTCCCCAAATTCATTTCGTTGCCATCTTTAACGGTTGTCAAGTTAAAACTGCCTGATAAAGGAGTGAATGAGGAAAGCAATGTTTTGCTGTATAATCTTCAATAAGGGAATGGTTCTTTTCTCGTAAAGGATATTGTTTGATTTCATGAAATAAATACAAGATGATATCTTTGACAAAATATTGTCTAATGCTACATGTCATTGAATTATGTTCTTGAACATGCCTGACGCCATATATAAGGTAGTGCAAAAGTCAATATATTTTAGTGTAAGTGAATCTGTATTGTAAGCGAATATGCTGTTATAAACTGTAGTATAAGAGAATATGTACTAAGCAAATATGTATTATATGCGTGCGAATATTTCCAAAACAGAAATGAGATTTTATTTAATTTCAATGATTCTGCCAGTATTTTAACTCGCAAATTGTTTGTGATTTGTGTATAGGAAACTCTGAAAGCAGCGTAACTTATTCATATTATCATTTAACGTTTTTGAAAATATTCTTTGTCGCACGCTAAAAATAACGAAAGGTTTAATTAAAATTAATTTGAAATAATTTCGTTAACTTTTTAAATAATATGATATCTATACCGGACTTCGACACAGACTTTCAGAATATGGGCAATCTCCAACAAGAACCTCGAAGAACATTAGAAGCTGACGTTCAAGACATTTCTACGAATCTAATTGTGTTCACAGACACTTTTGCGTGCCCGGACAAATCAAATGGATGCACAAAACTCAAGTACTTTGCGCTTGTTTGGATCCCTTCAACCTCCTGACACCGTTTATGAAAAACACTTAAAATAGTTCTCTAATTTGAATGAAGATTACTGCATGGAATCGGGAACAATAGAATAGAAATAAAATATATAAGAACAGCTTTAAAGATCGTTGTGTTGTAATGTTTTATACAATTTGGGGCTGAGATTGTTCAAGACCTGCAGTGTTAATTGAAATAGGGCAAATTTCTGAGAACCACATTCTTGAAAATTATAATCCGTTCATGTTAAAATTCCACGGAGAAGTGCTGTTATCTCTAGGAAAACAAAACACTTTTTGCAAAAGGCCGATATATCTCTAAGAGTAGCCGGTTTATTCGCAAATTAGAGACACATTGGATAACGATGTATGAATAACGATGCACGGATCATTTCTGAGTTCATCATGTTAATATTTGCATTAGCCACAAAGCGTGAGTAAAGTAAAGTAATTGTCAGAGTGTGAAGTGTTTTGTATATTCGCAAGAAGTATTTTGGCATACAATTGCGTTGGGAATCAAGGCTGTTGTTATGTAAATCGCAAAGAGAGCATTGTCACATACTCGGAAATGAGAACTGAAGCTTGAGCTGAGGGGTATGGCAAGGTTAGGGTTAGATTATATGGTATTGTGTAAATTGAAGTTTAAACTGAAACAGTGGAACTTGAGACTACTAGTTTCTACCACTAGTCTTAGAAACTTCCCATAAGCAGCCTGAATCCTGTTTAAAACACTATCTGCTATTCGTTGTCACAGTATCGTACTTCACCTATCCTAGCCAACTCGTATTAACTCACATCGTATTTGTTTCAAAATTGACCTTGCCTAGTATCGTTGGGCATTTTAACATCATTTAGCCGTTGTTTATAGTTGTCACAGCCTGCTCTCGGTAAATTCTACTGCCTGTTTACATCTTGGCATATTGATCCAAGCCTACACTCCGTACCCCGAGAGATGTGGCTCAGGGAATCAACAGATGTCACTGCAGTGCTTCTGGCCGGGTGGTCTTATGTTCGAATTCCGACGGGTGGCAGCATTTTCGACATTGGCGAGTTAGCTAGGTCGAGTTCTTTCGCCGTTTGGAGGAGAATTCTAGCGGTCGGCTGCTCTAATCGGTAGCTTTCCTTGGTTTATCAACATGTAGCCAAAGGTGGAATAGTACCCTAACAAATGGGTCACGGACAGCGCGCTATCTTTTCTTCTACTTCCTTGCCCTATCCTCACCCCCTACTTACACACACTTACATGCACATGCACTACACTACCATACACATCGGGAAACCAGTCGGGGGCTTAGAGCTTGTGTCACGCTGGTGAGATATACCAGGGTGGGGTATATCCCAGGACGCCCGCGTGTAGGTCGGCTTCGGATCTCGCCATCACGCGGGGAAGATCACCGCCACAGTACGAGATAAAAACATGCACAACACTTACGGGAATAATTATCTTGACGCTCCCGGAGTCACTAACAAATCAAATGAGACTAGGGATTTTTCGCATTGAATACTTTACAGTTAATACCACAATATTATTTTCACTTCTTACATTACCATTTCACCGCCGTAATTATCACTGTGGCGGAGGGCGGGTGGGGCGTTTGCCTACCTGCACGAGTCTGCGAATGGAGGAGAGCGAGGGCGCGGCGACGGCGTTGTGCTCGGGCGGGGGCTCGTCCTCGGCCGGCAGCTCCAGCGCCAGCTCCACCGCGGCGGCCGCCAGGTGCGGCGCCCGCGCCCACGCGCACAGCAGCGCCGCCGCCACCACCAGCCGCAGCGGGCCCTGCCCCTGCAAGCGCACGCCGCACCTCGCGTCCAGCAGGCGAATACTCCAACGGGCGGCCGTACGGCACGTGGTGTGCGCGGAGTGAAATGTGGGGAAAGTCTCTGATTACTCCGTAAGAAAATTGTTGTAGGTAATAATTGTAGGTAATACCACGAGTAAATGGACATTTCTGATAAATTACGGATTCGCTAAGTGGCCAGGGCACAGGTCATTCTCTATTAATTCCTAGTGACACAGCGGAGTGCATTGGAAATGTCCGATAATTCTCTAATCACTCCTCAAGAGTGTTTGGGAAGATTCTCATCAATTCTAGAGTTGCAAAGCGAAAAAGGTGTGTACCTGGACATCTCCAATGCACGAGTGGTATTGAATAAGACTATTTAACTAATAAAATTAAGAACAAAAGAATTTCATAATGTATCAAATACTAATTACTTCGATTTCACTCGCGCTTTTATTGCACACCACGTCCTTCGACTGATGAATCGGAGCTTTTGATTGACGGTAGAGAGGAGTGGAAACGAAAATCGTTTAACTGACTTTGCTGTAGCGAAATATTTTCCCTTATTCATTCAAATAACTTCATCCATCGTTATTTCACTGAAGCAAGTGATAACAGATACGATATTTAAGCAGTCGTCATAATCAACTGTTCGAGCAGAATTTGAAAATCACAAAATGTCAAAAAAGCCTTGATTTAAATAAAAAAGAAACACCGAACTTTATGACGTGAAAAACAAGTTTTTTTCATTTAATTGTCTGTAGACACTTCCAGAAATAATTCATTAATTTACTGTAGATCTTCAATCATTTAATGATTTATGTTCAGTCTGAGAGTTGAAATAGTCTCGTAATGATACCTTTAAAATACATTCAATTGCAGTACAACCAACTTTAAACAAGGCCTAGTAACTTTTTCTCTGTTTCAAAACATGTTCTTAAGACAGACATGGACACAGACATCAGTCACATTATGATTTATGAGTCGTTACATTCCTACATGTGACCACTGAAATATATTGCACTTGAGTTACTCGTACTAAAAATTATGACTGCAGCGCTCTATCTTAACCTTTCATTATAAGGTAGTAACATTAAGCGTTTGCTGAGCCGACATGGAATCTCTTATTGGCAAGGAGAGACCCTTTGAGAAACCGGCAGTGGTGGCCTCTACTGAAGCAGTAATCATGACATTGGTGATGGTGGTGGTGGTGGTGGTGGTGCGGGGTGTTGGGGGACGGTGGTGTGGGGAAGCAAGTAAGAGCAGAAAAAGGACAAGACGATGGAGGAAAAATCAGCGAAGAAGACGGATAAATTGGAGGAGGCGATTGAAGAAAGGAAGACCCTGAAGGAAGATAAATAACACAAAACAAGAGAAAGAGAAAACGATGGTACGAGTGGAGAGGGAGATGAAGAAGAGACACAAGGGCATGTAACAAAAAGAATGCGAAAAAACGCAAGGGGAGTTGAAATAATGCAGGATGAGAGAGTGAAAATGTATTAAAAAGCACGAAGGGGTAATAGGAGAAGGGGCTCTATGACCCTACAAGACTCAGTGATAATATATGGAGAATGAAAACAAAACGATGAATTGTGAGTACTGACTAAATAAATATTGTTAGAAAAATAAAACCTAGGAGAATAGCATGGATCGGACATCGAGAAAGTGTGGATACAGATAGAATCACTAAGAAAAGAACAGAATGGAAACCGATACGAGGTGTAAAGGAAGGCCAAAAACATAATGGAAAGACGTTGTGGAAGACCGACGTAGAATGAAACTTAAGAATTGGAGAGAGATGGCTCAAGACAGGAAGGAGTGGCAGAAGGTTGTTGAGCAGAGCAACACCCATCTCAGATCGTAGCGCCAATATAAGAAAGAAGAAGTAGAAGAAGAATAAAATGAAGAAGAATAAAATGAAGAAGAAAAAATGAAGAAAAAATGAAGAAGAAGAAAAAATGAAGAAGAAAATGAAGAAGAAGAAGAAGAAGAAAATGAAGAAGAAGAAAACGAAGAAGAAAATGAAGACGTAGGAAATGAAGAAGATGAAGAAGAAGATGAAGAAGAAGAAGATGATGAAGAAGAAGATGAAGAAGAAGATGAAGAAGAAGAAGATGAAGAAGAAGAAGAGATGAAGAAGAAAAGAAGATGAAGGGAATGAAAGAAGAAGAAGATGAGAAGAAGAAGATGAAGAAGAAGAGATGAAGAAGAAGAGAATGAAGAGAAGAAGATGGAAAGAAGAAGAAGATAGAGAAGAGAGATGAGGGAGAAGAAGATGAGAAGAAGAAGAAGGATGAGAGAAGAAGAGATGAAAGAAGAAGAAGATGAAAAAGAAGAAGATGAAGAAAGAAGAAATAAAGAAGAAGAAGATAAAGAAGAAGAAGATAAAGAAGAAGAAGATAAAGAAGAAGAAGAAGATGAAGAAGAAGAAAAGGAAGAAAAAAAGAAGTAGGTGAAGGGGAGGATAGAGAGGTACGAGCGGTGTAGCTGCGGTGGTGGCTGCAATGTCGGAGGGCGCGAAGGGGAATCCCAGGCGGAACAGAGAGCCCGAGGCGCGTTATTTTTCATCGCCCCTTCCCGCGGGGCTGATTATCCTCGTTTCTTTGCCTAATGGAATACGTCAGTTAGCGTATCAACAGAATGGGCGAAAGCGCAGGGGACGGAGGGAGGTCATCAACCACTTGCTGCATTCGTGATGGTCATTCAAAGACAGGAGATGAATGAATGTTTCTCGTTATGGTTCTCCGATCCCCCTTGCTAATTGGATCAGCGCAGCGTGAGTTCATTATACCTTGCCTTTTGTTGGTGCGCACCGAAGGCGCTTCCTGCAACCATCATGCTTTTTTTCATATATCATTCCAGATACATTATTTCTTTTACGAACGCTTTTGTTAACATTACCAAAAAGCCACATCTTTCAGTTGCGTTTAGTTGTGCTCAATTCGTATTGAGTGGCAACTTTCTGTTTCTGATATTCTAAAATTGTACGACAACTGCTAGAGTCTATCTGACAACTGTGGCGGCAGAATTTGATTGAGAAGCGAATGAAAGTAATATACTGATTTCATATAGAAAATCTCAAAGCTGAAGCTGTTGCAACTGCTAAACTCTGAATAGGAAACTGAGAACAAAAATGCTATAAAGGACAGTTGTATACATGAAATAATATAGTTAAAATATCTGAAATATTACGTTAATATTATACTTGAACATAGCAATATGCCGTTTTGGAATATCTGGAGTTGAAAGCCTGTGTCCTTGGCTTTTGGGCAACTGTTCAATGGCTTTCAGGAGCTAAGTGATCATCTGCGTAACTCTGTCAATAACTTCAAAATATTTCGTAGATCTCACGTATTATGACATTTTTTAGTTCCGAAAATTTGTTGAGTTCCTTCCTCGTTTCAATTAAGTTTATTATGTTTTGCAAAAGTATCAACATGAATAGTGAAAAGTACATTCCCCGAGCAGTACTGCAGCAGTAGTAGAAGAGTGTCCTCCGCGAAACAGCTGCCCGTTCTTTACTTTGACAGCAAATAGCAGCAGTGCTGCCCCTCCCCCATTGACGCCTTCCACACAGCCTTCGACACGACCGGCCGCCACCTCTACCGGCCCGCCGGCACTGCTCCCGTCGCCCCCGCATCTCCCGCTGCCCTCGCCTCTCCTCCATCCGTCGCGTCCACTGCCCCCGCTGCCCCCGTCCCCGCCGCCGCCCCCGCCCTCGCCGCCCCCGCTGTCCCCGGCGCCGGGGTCGTTCTTGCCGCCCCCATCACCCCGCCGCCCTTGCCGCACGCTCTCCTGCGTCGACCGGTCCCACCTGATCACACCCCGCCCCTCCTCTTCCCTTCCTCCGCTACCCCCACGGCCTCCACACCCGCCTCATGCCGCCGCCCCCGCCATCCTCGCCGCCGCCGCCGTCCTTTCCTCCTCGGCGCCTTTGGTCGCGCTCCGACGCGAGGTGACAGCGGCCCTTGGCACGCGGCGCGTTTCAAGTCGCCGGCCGCTACCTGGGGCGCGGGGGCGGCGACGAGCGCGGACACCGGGTCTCGAGAGAAGGGGGCGGGGCCGAGCGCCTCTGGCCGGCCGCGTGACATGGTCCTTGTCGCCGCCGCCTCCGCCGTCGCCTCGTCGGCGTCAACACCGCCGCCCGCGCCTTCTGTGATATACGTCATGTATGGAGGTGCTATATTTTGCTCAATCTTAATGCTCCGCTAAACTGGTTTCGTTGGTAACTAATTAAAAAATAGAGAAGCTTGGACAATGTAGGTTATCTTAACACTCTTCTCAAAGGTTTAATTTCATTTATTATCGTTGAAATGTAGTTAAATGTCACATTTTCACAGTTTCTTTCTTCCACACTCAGAGGCTCAGTATTTCAGATCAGATGTACAATATCTGTATTTTTTGATATATGCCTGGTTCCTTGGTATCATACTGTTTATATAAACAGTCATATATTAAAAAACAATGCATTTACTGAATGGTTTGAACAAAAATCTTGTAATATTCCATTAAGGAATAAACAGTGACACATCTTCCACAAATACATCTTCTACCATATAAATAATATGTAGTTCTCCACCAAGTTCATTCAGACATTGTTTAGAGAGTATTTACCGACTTCTTTTGTTTTTATTTTAAACTTTAAAGCTATGAGAATATGAAAATGGGAAAATAATTCTATAAATATGTTTGGGTAGCCTTTGTGAAGAATGAAATATTATCTACTTTGTGGAGTATTATTTCTTTGTCTAGTCCTTATTCATCAATTTCACTTGCATGTGTGAGAAATACATTCTTATTTGTCTATTTCTACAGATCATGGTCACCAACATTTTTTCTTTTATAGTCGCAATTTTTACATCAATTTTATGCGACTTTGTTTCCCTCTCTCAGTTCCATTTTCATATCAGTATTCTATCTCATTTGTTTACCAACATAACATTATCAAGTACGTCAGCCGTCATTGGTAACTGCGCCTCCTATTTCCTTTTGTATTTCACCA